AAACCCGCCACCTTAAGTGTATGTGGCTGGCGCCTTAGCTGCTTGAGCCACAGGCACTGAACCCAGTTCTTTTTAATTTATCAATCTTGCTTTCCTCTGTGTGTATGTATAGTCATGCTTTGATTTAAATATTAAAGTTTCTCCTTAAGTTAATGTTTAAGTAATTTATTTTAACAATCTTTGATAAGAGGTGGCCACATCCTTAAAACAATGATAGATTCAATTATGTTATTAGATACTGGTCTTTTATTTATGAGTGCTTTAGCAAACATCGGAATATACAGATTTTGAGAGAGTCACACTTATAAGCAGTTAATTTGCTATTATCATTATAGGGGGACTAAGACATAGTTATAGGTATATATTTCCCCTGTTGAATCACGATCTTTTACCTAAAATTACTCTGTAAATAAAAGGAAAATCAAGTTTACAAATCTTTTTTTATGCACTTGTTCTCACATGTTCTGGTTCAACTTCTAATTTGTGTTTTTAAAAATTGTGGTATGCCAGGGCAGAGGCTCATGCCTATAATCATAGTAGGCTGAGCTGGCAGGATCGCTTATGGCCAGAAGTTTGACACCAGCTTGGGCAACATAGTGAGACCTTATCTCTACAAAAAAAAAAATAGAAAAGAGTTAACTGGTTGTTGTGGTGGGCATTTGTAGTCCCAGCTACTCTGGAGGCTGACACAGAAGGATCATTAATTTAGCCCAGGAGTTTGAAGTTGCTGTGAGCTATAATGATGCCACTACACTCTAGCCTGGGCAATAGACTGAGACCGTTTTTTTAAAACAACAACAAAATGGGGTAGTTTATAGAATTAATAAGGACTTGACTTGGAAGATATCTTAGGTTATCTGAATCAATCCTTTTATTTCATGGCTAATTTCTCTGGCCTCAGTGTCCTAAAGTGACTTTAAAGGCATTCATCTAGTTTGTGGCAAAGCTAGAGCTTAGAGCTACATACTCTCTACTTACATACTGTCTGTCTAGGACTAGAAGGAAAAATGCAAAGGATTTCTATAGGAAGTGTTACAGCTTTGTCTGGAAATCAGAAATAAGATAATTTCATTTCTAACTCATATCTGTGCCTTGAGCAGTCAACTTTTACATTCAAACTCTTAAATTTATTGTACAGTTATTTCTTGGTGTGAGCTTTTGGTCTATATTTTAAATTTATGATGTCTTATTTCAAATTGTATATGAGAACATCACACTGTACCCCATGATTGCATTAATGTACACAGCTATCATTTAATTAAAAAAAAATTTTTATAATGTCTTCTAGTTGGATTGGATGCTGCTGGCAAGACAACCATTCTGTATAAACTGAAGTTGGGGGAGATAGTTACCACCATTCCTACCATTGGTAAGAAAGTTTAAGATGACTTTAATTTATACATATCATAGTAATATATTGTAAGTGAATTAGACTACATTTAATTTGAAACTTTTTATTAAGCTTGTTGATTATCTTAATAGGACTTTTAAAGTATTCTAAGAATTTCACAGTAAAGGAGTTTATTTTCTTAATGATGCTTTATTGTGTGCAACAATCATTTCATTTTTCCTTTGTAGGTTTTAATGTGGAAACAGTAGAATATAAGAACATTTGTTTCACAGTATGGGATGTTGGTGGTCAAGATAAAATTAGGCCTCTCTGGAGGCATTACTTCCAGAATACCCAGGTAAGGAATCCTATATGTTTTTAAAACTTTTTCTTTTTGGGAGTGGCGCCTGTGGCTCATATGCCGGAGGTGGTGGGTTCAAACCCAGCCCCAGCCAAAAACTGCAAAAAGAAAAACAAAACTTTTATTTATGGATTTCGTGCTCTGCAGTTTATATTAATATCTAATATTTGCTTGGATGTTGGTGTTTACTATATGAGTTGGCATTCCTCATATATACTTCTGTATTCTTCAGTAGCCCCTAACACATGCCTGAGGCTAAACTAACTGGGGGAAGAATTATGTAGCTATCCCAGTAACACTTTGGGGTGGGTGTGATTGCCTGTATAGTTGTCACGAGTGAATTTGGGGCCAGCCACAGTACTGTGGGAAGCCTAGTACTTTGGGAAGCCAAGGGGGAGGTTTGTTTGAGATCAGAAGTTCAAGACCAGCCTAGGCAAGAGGGAGAGACCTTGTCTCTACAAAAAATAGAAAACCTAGCTAGGCGTAGTAGCCTGAGCCTATAGTCCCAGCTACTGGGAAGGCTGAGACAGGAAGATTGCTGAAGCCTAGGAGTTTGAGGTTGCAGTAAGCCATGATTGAGTCCACTGCACTCTTGCTGGGGGTACATAGTGAGACCCTGTCT